AAAACTAACAACACTATTAAAATATAGTAAAATGCTAAAGGTCAGTATGATTTAAAGTAAAGCAGAGAGAATAGAAATCTAATTGTTTGATGGATGGTAGAATATTAGTTGTTTACTTATAGGGCCAAAAACTTATTTCTGATTAATAAATTAATTAATTATTATTATTTCAATATTACTTATATATTAATTTCTGTTTCTAAATAGTTGGTTTGGCAATGTCTTCTTGGGTGTCTGGCTGGGCCATGACACATTGGAGAAAGTGTAATTTCTTTTAACAGCAATCAAACTTGGGTCATGGGATGCTTTTTTGTTTGTTGCTCACTACACCTCAAAATATGTGTGCATTAAATGTTGATTTTATTTTAACTGAAATTTCAGATGGATCCAAAACAATTTAGGTACATCATTGGGATCATTAACGAAAATCAGCACTGGACTCTGACGGTACTGTTTATGTTTTAAAAGCAGCCTTACTTATCTTTTAAGTGGTTGGGTGCAATTTTTTTTTAGAGTTTAAAGTTTTGTTGTAATCATTTGCAATATCTTTATTATTAAGATTATGATTCCACAAGAGAAGAGGGCTCTGTTCTTTGATCCTCTAGGAGAGACCACATCTAAAGTCCAAAGGTGCCAGAATGTGACAAGGTAAATCAACATTTAAAACAAGATCTTCTGAAATTCTAAAGGTGTTTCTTGATATTCTATTTAATTTAATAAATTCCAAATTCAAGATATTTATTATCACGTTCTCAATGTACCTATCTTTACCCCATAATTACCTTTTTACCCCATAATCATAAATATTACAGGTCCTTTATGATACACAAGGGCTACAACGTGCCCAAATGGGTGTGTGAGACACTGCCACATTCATGCCAACAGGATGGCAGTTCTTGTGGACCTTTTGTCTTGAAGGTAAGTTAAATGGATCATTATGCCATATATGACTTTCTTTCCTTAGTGTACCACCAGAGGTAAATACAATGTAGATGGTTATTCTGGATGGTAAATGGATATCAAATGATAAATATTGAAATTAATGGTGACTTCCATTGAAATACAACACAAGGATATATTAGGAAGAGTGTTACTGTTGAAAATAGAAGTTAAGGTTGTAAATTTTAGTTATCATTCTAGTATTGACATCATTCTTTGGAAATCCCTCACTTATATTTTAGGACAGAAGGTCAGTCTTGCAGCCTTAAATATAGAAAAAAAATAAAATACATTACATATCATTCTTAATAATCACTTTTCTTTTTTTAGTTTGCAGAATGTGTCTTAAATAATGAGTCGCTTCACTTTTCCACATCTGAGGAAAGTGTGGCTGCCCTGAGAAGTAAAATTGCTGCTTGTGTCTTGCAGCACACTGGTAAGTTTCAAAGGTCCAATTTTCATTAATTCTTTTGTTCCTTAACCATTAAACAGTGTTGGTAAAATGTGATTATTTATTAGCTTGTGAAAACTTGTGATGTTTTAAGAACTTGTTTTATGATAACATTGTTTATTCTGCCTCAACTAGATAACCTGAAGGACCTGTGCCATCTATGTGGGGACAAAAACAATGGCAAAAAAGTGACTAACTGGGTAAGCATTCCAATAAAGAATATTGTCTTTTATCAAACCTTTATTAAATGTATCATATGAATTGAAGGTGATATAATAATGTTCATGTAAGTATTGTTTGATATGGATTACAGATGCTTGACTTCAAAATGTGTTTGTCAACATGTTTAGATTGGCTGTGAAATGTGCCCACGCTGGTTTCACTGCAGATGTGTTCAACGTACAAGAAAAAACAAAACATACATCTGCCCAGTTTGTCAACCTTAATGTAAGGTTTGAGGTGGTAATTTTCTTTTTTCTGAAATCTTCATTGTACATTTCTTACAATTTATTTGCCAGGTGATATGAACTACTTATGCTTCTCTTTCTTTGTTTCTTTGTTAGTGTGTCTTGGTTTTTGTACGTATCACCACTTTCTCCTTGCCTGAAAGTCTTTTTTTTTTTTGGTTGCTTCTAAACCTTTAAAGCCCTTTCTGATTTTTTAATGTTTTTTTTTGTTTTTTTTTGTTTTTTTTTGCCTATTTCCTGTTAACATATCTCGACTCAGCTTGATCATCCGGTTTTTGACCCCCTGCTCTCGTCCTGGAATATTCAATTGCCTTTGCTTCATCCTTCAAATTGTTGGTCCGCTACTGATTTTGACCCCAGCCTGTTCTTTCGATTTTGCCTCTGTCTCGCCCTCTTACTCGGCTATCAATAATTTAATGTTATTTTTTATTGTTTTCATTTAACGTTTTGACAATAAATCCTGTTCTAAATTGATCTGCTCTCGGGTCCTGTTGTCTGAACCTCCCTAACAACTTTAGCTGGGTCAGAGACTCAAGACACTCATTCTGGAGACTCATCTCATCCTGTAGACTACCTGGCAGAAAAAGTGTGCAGGTTGAATAATAAGTATTTGGTAACACTTTACAATAAGGTTCATTAGTTAACATTAGTTAACTACATTAGTTAACATGTACTAAGAATGAACAATAGTTCTTCAGCATTTATTAATCTTAGTTAATATTAATTCCAACATTTACTAATACATTATTAAAATCAAAGGTTGTATTAGTTAACATTAGTTAATGCACTGTGAACTAACATGAACGCACAATGAACAGCTGTATTTATATTAACTAACATTAACAAAGATTAATAAACACTGTAACTAATGCATTGCTCATCATTAGTTCATGTTAGTTTAGTTAATGCATTTACTAATGTTAACAAATGAACCTTATTGTAAAGTATTTTAAAAGCACAAGTGAGGAGGTTCAATAATTATTATTTTACATAGGGAAGTATATGTTTTTGCAGTACTGTAGTTTTTATAGCTATAGAAAATGTGCAGGCAGCAAAGTCAAATGACATATTTGCATTCCATTTAGTAATGATGTTCATGTTTAGGTGTAGGCTACCCTTACGAAACTAATTGTTTTACGACAAAAAACACTGTAGTGTTTAAAAAAAAACAAAAAAAAACACTGTTTTACAATACTGCAGTAAAAACACTTAACAAGCGAAAAATCTGACAGTTGTAAATCATACGAGTTGAAATCATACGAGTTTGGTCAAATATATGATCAAAGAGGAAAAACAAGAATAAATACATGATCAAAAATCAACAAACAAATTTCTATCATGTAATTTCTTACGTCGTCTGATTACTGTCTGTTTTCGCAAGTGGCGGCGGCACAAATTGACGTCATGCGCGTGCTCGCGAGGGGAGTCAGATTCTGGCAGGGAGTCGGAATTCGGCACAACACCTGGAGTCTGTTTTCTATGGACTATTTTATACATAGTTCCCACATGACGTCACAACATACGGGCATTTGCCGACCCGGCGCCATTGCTTAGGGCAAAACATAAGAAGAAGCAATACGAGTTGAACGAAGTGAAATGAGTTTCGTGCTATAAAGTGAAAATGGTCATCTCCTGCTGAGTCAATGGATGATAAAATCGTGCCGGAGGTTCAGTTAAATCGGGATTTTACACTATACCCGTCATTAGACTCCATATGGATGTGAGAAGACTAAGCTTTTGTCCGAACAATGACGGAGATGATGGCTGGCGAGCATAAACAGGAAAGAAACTCACTCAAAACACGCAAGAATTTGTTTGACAAAAGCGTTGTGTTTTATTGCGAGTGTAAATAAATATAAGTTAACACATTGCAATTTGAATAATGTCCTGTATGAACAAAATGACGAGGTATTAAAAACATACAAAACAACATTGTTTCCACTGTTTGATCTCACATTCCAGCATTGCAATCTCAGATTATGTCCCTAAAGATCCCGCGTATAATGTAGTTCCTCATTTATTACATTAATTAAATTGCAAGCGAGTTATTTATTTTAATATTCATGCACCGAACCATGACGCCCGCAAGTACATGCATATTACAGAAATCACCGGTGACTGGGGAACATAGGAATTAAGTTGTGCAGGCTATGGCTTTTTAATAGACAGATTAGCATCATGCTACTTCGCTATGATGACTTAAGTTACTTTTCCATTGATTGCACTTGAGCAAACGTCACCAAACCAACCCCACGTCAATATGATCGTACACCTCCAGTGATTTCCAGGCTTGGAATTGCTCACATGTGTAAAAACTCCTCACCAATACCAGATAATTGTACACATGAAAATACTGTATCTGAGGCAAAGTTGCATTATCGGTGCTCAGTGCTTCTTTTGTTGCATAAGGATACACACCATTTATGAATGAAATTTTCGCATTGTACCTCTCTATGTCTTGTTTTAATAGTGTTACGTACCCTCAAACAAGTTTGTTTGAAAGGGGCAACATTGAGGTTGTGATCAGGAGATGGTGCACGTTATAATGGCAAGAGACGACCCATACTCAGAGTTGTGAAAATATAAAGTATGATTTATTTGACAAATGATATTTTTTAATGCAAAGATAAATAAATATAATAATAATAATAGAGTATAAGGACATAAAGTGAAGCCAAATAAAAGAAAGGAACAAAACAAACACCAATTAACTAACCCCCAACCTCTTAGCTCACTAATAACAAAAAGAAAATAAAAGACAAAGATCTTCAGCGCAAAGCGCCCTCTCTACCTACACTAACTAATAACAAAACATACAAAAGTGGCATTCACTCTCTTACCTGGTGTAGTATACATCGAGTTTACTAGGTGTTGTTTTATGTACGTCACGTGACATTTTACCTGTCCAAATTACTCTTGGTAACCTCAAAACACGCCATCAAGGCAGAACACGTTACACTTGGTAACCTCAAAACACGCCATCAAGGCAGAACACGTTACTATTAGTAACCTCAAAACACGCCATCAAGGCAGAACAAAACAAAACAGAGTAATGTCTGTAACAGAAAAATAACGTACATACAAGCGGCAATCAACACACAGAAAGAAACAAAAGCTGTCTTGCGTTCTTCTCCCGCTTCCCTTTAAACTCGTAGGTTGAACTTGATAGGCCACGGGAGGGAGATGACGTCATGATGTGAATGAAGATTGACATCGCTCTCAACCAACAGCGGACAAGAGATGACGCAAACCTAAGAATAGGATAGTGGTAGAAGAGAGAGAAGAGAAATAGAAACCAAAAGAAAACATACGACCACAGGGACGTAACACTCCCACCCTTAAGAACAAACCTGTTTGTAAAAAAAAAACACACAATATTTTACACTCTCGAAAGAGCGTCAGCCATAACGTTATCAACACCCTTTTTGTGCTTGATCTCCACGTTATAATTCTGGAGTACTAGAGCCCAGCGCATCAAACGCTGGTTTTGATTGTACATCCTGGATAAAAACACTAGAGGGTTATGGTCAGTGAATACGGTGACAGGAAGATTACTGGAACCAAGGTAAACTTCAAAGTGCTGGAGAGCAAGTAAGAGAGCAAGTGCTTCCTTTTCAATGGTAGAATAGTTAAGCTGATGTTTATTAAACTTGCGAGAATAATAACTCACCGGATGGTCTATACCATTTATATCCTCCTGAAGAAGGACAGCTCCGGCTCCAACAGCACTTGCATCTACCTCGAGTTTAAAAGTACGGGAGCAATCAGGTGCAACGAGAACAGGTGCATTACATAAAAGCATTTTAACGCAATCGAAAGCATTCTGACACTCCACAGACCATTCAAATTTTTTAGATGGACAAAGTAATGAAGTGAGAGGGGTAACAACGGTTGAGAAATTTTTACAGAAACTGCGGTAATAACCAGCCATACCTAGAAATCTTCGCAACTCTCGTCGAGTCGCAGGGACTGGAAACTCTGCAATAGCAGTAACCTTCACTTCCACTGGTCGTACGTAGCCTTGTCCAACCTCTTTACCCAAATAAGTGACAGTCGCTCGACCAAACTCACACTTTGCCAAGTTGAGAGTTAAATTAGCTGCACGTAGACGTTCGAACACCGTTCTCAACAAACTCACATGTTCCTCCCAAGTCACAGAATATAACACTAAATCATCAAGATATGCATTGCAATTCGGTACATCAGCCAAGACGATATTTACAAGACGCTGAAAAGTGGCTGGAGCGTTTCTGAGTCCGAAAGCCATCGCTGTATATTGAAGGAACTTATCTGGTGTTACAAATGCTGAAATGTCTGACGCTTGTGAAGTAAGTGGTACCTGCCAGTACCCCTTCAACATATCCAGCTTAGTAACAAAACGAGCAGACCCCAGATTATCAACACAGTCCTCCATGCGGGGTAACGGATAACTGTCTGGCACCGTTACGGCGTTCACTTTTCGAAAATCAGTGCAAAACCTAAACGTACCGTCAGGTTTAGGCACAAGGAGACAAGGAGAGCTCCAGGGACTGCAACTAGGTCTGGCTAAGTCATTTTCAAGCAGATAATTCACTTCTTGACGCATAATAGATTTCTTGACTGCATTTATGCGATAAGCATTTTGCTTAATAGGACGAGCACCGTTTACAACAATATCATGCTGTAAGACATTTGTTTGTTTAGGAACATCACTAAACAGACAATTAAAATCGAATATTATTTGAACAATGTCAGTTTCCTGGTCAGCAGTTAAATGATTGAGATACGAGTGAAGATCTTCTAAAATTTCTGAGTTAGCTAACCTTGCGCACTGCTGAGGAGCGTTGCGAAGCACGACACCATCCTCGTCAGCCCCTGAGATACCAGAAAATGGTTTCAGTTCCACGGCTATTGCGACAGAAGAGACCGCGGGCCCTGCAGTTTCATCTGAAGCTTTCACCTCAGGCATCTCCCTGTCATGGTAAGCTTTTATCATGTTTATGTGACAAACTCGGGTTTGACGTTTTCTGTCAGGTGTGTACAGCATATAATCAGTTTCACTCATTTTCTGTTTCACCACATAAGGACCAAAGAAACGGGCAGACAAAGATGATCCAGGAACAGGTAAAAGCACCAACACTTTATCACCAGGCGAAAATGAACGCGCAACTGCTTTCTGATCATATTTGCGCTTCATGCCTTTTTGAGCATTTTCTAGAGATTCTTTAGCCAGTGACCAAGCAGTATGCAAACGATCTCGAAAATTACTGACATAATCCAGTACATTAGTGCGAGGACCCGGAACACTGCTCAAAATGTGATCTTTAAAAACTTTCAAAGGTCCTCTCAGCTGATGTCCGAATACGAGATCGGCTGGACTAAAACCAAGAGATTCCTGTACAGTCTCTCTTACAGCGAATAATACTAAGGAAACTCCCTCGTCCCAGTCTCTAGCAGTTTCCAGGCAATACTTCTTCAGCATCGACTTAAGTGTCTGGTGAAACCGTTCAAGTGCGCCCTGGCTTTGTGGGTGGTACGCACTTGAGACTCGGTGAGATATTGACAACGACTCCAGTACTTGTCTAAAAAGTTTTGATAAAAAATTCGTGCCCTGATCACTTTGTACTATTTTCGGAAGACCGAAAGTAGAAAAAAATTTCACCAATGCTTTGATGATAACAGGCGCGGTAATTTTTCTTAATGGAATTGCTTCCGGAAATCTAGTGGCCATGCACATTATGGTTAACAGAAACTGGTTACCCGACTTAGTTTTAGGCAATGGCCCAACACAGTCTATGAGCACATGCTCGAACGGCTCTCCAATAGCTGGTATGGGAGACAGAGGAGCGGGGCGAATCACCTGGTTCGGCTTCCCAACAGTTTGACACGTATGACAAGTACGGCAGTACTGAGCCACATCTTTCTTTAAGCCTGGCCAGAAAAAATGTCTCAGAATCCTATCATACGTCTTTGTAATTCCTAAGTGACCTGCAAGCTGATGATCATGCGCTAAACATAACACATGTTTACGATAAGGAAAAGGAACGACCACCTGGTACTAGTGATGGGAAGTCCGGTTCTTTTCCGCGAACCGGTTCTTTCGGACAGTTCGTTTTAATGAACCGGTTCAAAAAACCGGTTCACCAGTTCTTTTACGTCATCACGTAATGACGTCAATTCTATCATCCCGGCGGATAAAAATACTTCAAATTAAAGGGCATTTGTAATCACAACTTCAGTTAAATAATAGTATGCATTGTCATAATCATCTTGGATAAGTTTCTTACGTTTACATTTTGAAAACGAACCCTGCTGCAGCCTAGGCGATGTGCTAACGCGGATGTTTTACATGTTTTAAATATATAAAATGCATAAATGGTCTTCATCATTTTATTTGTTATTAAATAAACTTACATTTCGCCGATTCGCCCTCTCATTTAAGTCCTGGGTTCACCCGTACTACTGCGTGCTCGTATATCAGCACAGGATCAGCCGGCCGAAAGAAAGTTCTGTTCAGAAACGGTGCTATCACGCATGCGCAGTATCTCCAGCTCATCGGTTCTCCGTATCGAACGTGTCCGAAAGAAACAGTTCTTGGTTCTGTACTAGTGATTCAAGAACTGCAACAACCAGTTCTCGACTCGAGAACCATAGCATAGGCCTGTGTGTGCTGACCTGAAACCTGAATACACAGTCGACAAAACTAAATCGATGCATGTCTGTCTCCAATATAGCCTTCTGTAGCCTATACAGTGTATATCATGTTTATAATGTGTTAACATAACGAATTAAACATATATGTTTAATTCGTTATGTTAACACATTATAAACATTTACTAAGCAGTGCACCAAACCTTGGCAAGAGTTTACATCAATGATTTATATTGTTACTTACAAATTAAATGAGCTAGCTGTTCCTGAAAATATTATTTAATAATAAATGTTTAGTAGTTTGACAGTTTTAGAATCCAATCATTATTTCCAATCGTTAAAATAATACAGTGATACAGTAATGGGATAAACATGTTTCAAAAATGTTTTATTTTGTTACACTTACTGATGTTCAACTAAAGACATGGAAACGTACATTTCGTCCCTCAGAAAAAAATGCACGCATGCTCAGCTCATCAACTCATCAGTTCTCAGTATGTCGAACGCAGTAGCGGTTCTAGGCACGGGCGAACCGGGCAGTCGCCCGGGGCGGCATCTCTTCATGTCACGTGGGGGGCGGCACGAGCAGTTAAAAAAATCCTCTGTCCCGCGAAGGTTTTCTATTTTTTATCATTTCAATTCAATTATTGGCAATGGCGCCCCTGCTTGCGGAGAAGGTGCCGTGCACAGAAGCGATATCAAGGGGGTCTCTTGATTAGTTCACGTATCGCGTCTTTTGCGCGCTTGAGGTCGTTATTTCAAATAGGCGATTAGGCGCACGGGAAGCGCGCTCATTACGCGCTCGCGGGAGGCGCGCTCATAATCTTTTCAGTATGGGAGTGCACGTGCACCCAAACACTTGGGTTTTTTTCTCTTCTCCGTAAAGAAATCTTTTAGCAGAGCTTCAGCAAGCGTTTTTCTGTGGTGGAAATACATTAGCTACTAAAACTTCTTTGCCATTGTGGAGAGCCCAGTGCATGGTTGTATAACAACGACAGCCATGGGAAAATCGGAATTTTACTATTAATAATAAAAGATCAGCTACTGTGCATTATAAATGTCAGGAATGTATCTTTATTGACTCATTCTTTTTATAGAGATGATTGAATGCTGAAATATGAGGTTTATATATTTTTTAAATATTTTGTGTTAACCTTTTTTTAAGTTTAGTAGGTAAGATAAAAGACACTCCTTAAAAACAAATCTTTAATGTTATTAGCTTGGTGAATTGATTTCATTGTGTATTAGGGTTTTTGAACAAGATTCTGTGTATGTGATCATGTTGGTCACTATATTCATGAAATGAAAATAATTTACATAATGATCAACTTTATGTGTTTTTATAGTAGCCTATAATATGCAAAGTACAATTTTCTATTTTCTAAATAATCTCTGATTCTGTCCTTTTCTCTGACATTTTAAGAGTGACATAAAGCTATTTTAGGTCTATAACAGTTTGGATAGTTGTTAATATGATAGCTGTTCAAAATTATTTAAGAGATAAGTATTGTGTTACTAAATAAAAAAGTGTCTCTCTGACGCTTTTACTTTTAAAAACTCCATTTCGTGACAAAGTATACTTTAACAAGTCATAACTAAAAGTGTGCCATGCACATAATTCAAGGCAATAACCAATGCGCTAATGGTAACTTCCTCCCTTTAAAGTTAGATTAAGCAAAATAACTGGATTCTATTAACTGTGTTTTTCAAATGAACGGAATGTGATTTTTTTTTTGGGGTGGTTTTTTTTTTGGTTGGTTGGTTTTTTTGGGGGGGGGGGGGGGGCTCGAAGGGGGTCTCGCCCTGGGTGTAATTCAAAGTAGAACCGCCACTGGTCGAACGTGTCCGAAAGAAACAGTTCTCGGTACTGGTTATCCGACCGCTGTACCTGTATGTTCGGTAGTACACGCATGCGCAGTATCAGCTGCTCGTGCTCATCACTTCTCTCGGCACCAATATATGTCTCCGTTCAGTGAAGTTTTTGAGTTACTGAATAAAATGTACTAATGGATATTGGTTTATTTCAATTCGGAGGGACTGTCAGGCATGTCTGAAAGTGAGTAACTTTAGTAACTTGTGGTTTAGCGCTGACGCAAGACGCGAACTGTTTCGAATGATTCAGTCCGATTTAGTGTACTGGTTCGACCGGTTCACTAAAAAGAACCGGTTCAAAAGAACGATTCGTTCACGAACCGGCCATCACTACCTGGTACACAACATTCCACTCTGAATCATTTGTGTTAGAACACCACTTCCTCATCAATAACTCATTCTCCCGAAAGTAAGCAACTTTTTGATCTTTAATTGAATCAAGAGAGACAGCAGAATTAAAAACAGCATTGAGAGACTCATCTTCTTTTTGTGCAGTAATAATTTTCTCTCGTGACACGGGTAATTTTAACGCATCGGCGTCAGACACATTTCCTCTGTTAACCTCTGTCTGTGATTTATCTATTTTTGGCGACGTACCGGCACACAATTCGTCACCAGAAAAAAGAGTGATAAAAACAGAGTCAGACAAATCAACCATATCACCCACTTTACGCGACTGAGCGCGGGTGACAGCGCATGCGGGAAAAACTTCAGGGTAAGTATGTGACACATCCAATTGACTGAACGCATCTGGCTTTTCAACAACTTCTAACACAGGCAAAATTTTCCCCCCCGCTAGATCATTTCCAAGGATAAAATCAACGCCCTGGACAGGAAGAGAAGGACGTACTGCCACTCTTACAAATCCCGTACATAAGTCACTCTGCAGGTGGATACGATGTAATGGCACAGTAATACAACTCATGTCAATGCCTTGAACTATCACACTTGAATTACAGAAAGTGTCCTCAGAGAATGGTAATTTATCTGCCACAATAAAAGACTGCATTGCACCGGTGTCTCTGAGCATTCTTATTTCTTTCTGTTCGTCACAATTTCCCTTTAGAGAAATTAACCCTTTCAAGATAAAAGGTTGATAACTGTCATCGATTTTCTCCACTCTAGGTACACTGACAGTCGGCTTACAAGCCTTCACAAACCCTACGCTCTTAGGCTGCTGCTTGCGTTTTAAAGACAGACAATCTGCGATCACATGTCCTTGTTTGTGACAGTAAAAACATTCACGATCCTCTCTCGTACGAGTTGGACTGTGTTTGGGACGGACTGGTGGGTTTTGCAAAGGAACAGATTGTGATCGCTCTGGACGTGCAAGTGCAAAAACGTTTTTGTGGGTTAAAACAAACTCGTCCGCTAACACAGCTGCTTGAGACAACGAAATTACTTTCTGTTCATTTAGGTAGACCACTACACGATCAGGTAAACACCCTTTGAACTCTTCGAGCAGTACAAGTTCTCTTAACTCATTAAAATCACTCACTTTGCTAGCTGTGCACCACTTGTCAAACAAGATTCCTTTTTCTCTAGCAAATTCCACAAATGTTTGAGCTGAATTCTTTTTATGCCCACGAAACTTCTGCCTGTAAGCCTCTGGGACTAACTCGTAAGCACGAAGTATCGCGGACTTCATAGACTCATATTTTAAACTTTCTTCTAGAGATAAAGTAGAACAGACTTCTTGAGCTTTTCCAATCAATTTACATTGTAACAATAGAGACCAGACGTCTTTAGGCCATCGAAGAGAAGTAGCTATGCGCTCAAATGTACTGAAATACGAATCAACCTCTGATTCTCTAAACTGAGGTACTAAAGAAATGTACTTACTAATGTCAAAGGTTACCTGGGACGAATCAGACCGTGGAGGAACATCAGAGGTTGGACCTGGAGTCGACTGCACAGCTGAACCGGCAGCGATTTTCATTGCGTCCAGATCAAGCTGTCTCAGCTTCACCTGAGTCTCTGCCTCAATCTCAAGCCTGCGTACCTCCAAACGCAGATTTATCTCAGCTTGACGTGCCTGGGCTTTCTCCTGTGCCTCGTATTGCAAACGGGCCAAGCGGACTCTCAGTCGCGCTCCATCTCTGGAATCAACAGAACTGGGAGAGAATGGATCAAACGGTGGCAAGCCGGCCTTAGCATCGGCCCCCACCTCCGCCTCAGCATCAGCTCTACCGCTCCGTTTATCCTCATCATCCACAAAACTGCGATTTGTCACGGCAACGCCACTCCACCAACACTCACCTCTGCACCTCCGCCAGCCTCATCACCCACAGGACTTGACACAGGAAGAACATTAATCTCTTTTAAACGATGTATCAATTTACTTTGTATCTCGCTCTTAAGGGTCTGTCTACTCACCTCAATCTGATAGTGGTCAGCTATCAGAACTAAATCTTGTTTCTTGCAAGAACTAATCTGTTCGAAAGACGGGTTGGCAATGAATTTTTTTAAGCTAAACACTTCCATGATGCACAACCAGCAAACGAGTACAAAAATACTGCTCTGCATGAATAAGCCGCAAAAATAAACGTAACGTCACTTACCACTATCATACACACATACAACTGATCACAACTGAATTAACTTGAGATAAAAGATCCCGGACGAGCCCCCATTAAATGTTACGTACCCTCAAACAAGTTTGTTTGAAAGGGGCAACATTGAGGTTGTGATCAGGAGATGGTGCACGTTATAATGGCAAGAGACGACCCATACTCAGAGTTGTGAAAATATAAAGTATGATTTATTTGACAAATGATATTTTTTAATGCAAAGATAAATAAATATAATAATAATAATAGAGTATAAGGACATAAAGTGAAGCCAAATAAAAGAAAGGAACAAAACAAACACCAATTAACTAACCCCCAACCTCTTAGCTCACTAATAACAAAAAGAAAATAAAAGACAAAGATCTTCAGCGCCAAAGCGCCCTCTCTACCTACACTAACTAATAACAAAACATACAAAAGTGGCATTCACTCTCTTACCTGGTGTAGTATACATCGAGTTTACTAGGTGTTGTTTTATGTACGTCACGTGACATTTTACCTGTCCAAATTACTCTTGGTAACCTCAAAACACGCCATCAAGGCAGAACACGTTACACTTGGTAACCTCAAAACACGCCATCAAGGCAGAACACGTTACTATTAGTAACCTCAAAACACGCCATCAAGGCAGAACAAAACAAAACAGAGTAATGTCTGTAACAGAAAAATAACGTACATACAAGCGGCAATCAACACACAGAAAGAAACAAAAGCTGTCTTGCGTTCTTCTCCCGCTTCCCTTTAAACTCGTAGGTTGAACTTGATAGGCCACGGGAGGGAGATGACGTCATGATGTGAATGAAGATTGACATCGCTCTCAACCAACAGCGGACAAGAGATGACGCAAACCTAAGAATAGGATAGTGGTAGAAGAGAGAGAAGAGAAATAGAAACCAAAAGAAAACATACGACCACAGGGACGTAACAATAGTCTCTTTATAATCTATTACACTTTGTATTTTCATGATTTGCATAACAATATAAACAGACATAAATATTTGTTTGTAAAACGACATTCTCTGATAAAACGTTGTAAACGCCTATGGTAAACACAGCGGTTTTGCCCTCAAAGATGGCGTCTCCGGGGAGGTCACGTGACAATTTTTTTGCCTGTGGGAACTATGTATTGCATAACAAAACCGCATGATATTCACCCTGAAGAAACGCGATGTAAACAAAGGAATAACCATGGATATTACAACATTATTTTTTCTTTGGACAAAAAATGCTCTATGGGATGTTATTCAGTGGACCCTCAGCTTTCCATTCAATCTGGAATTTTTAACAGTGGATGCGTGTCTGGCTCGTTATTACAAAATAATGGTGAGTACTCCGTTTTTGTTTACGTGCGTTTTTATGTGTACTGCTTACCTAAATGCAAGAAATACATTTGTTATAAGCTTTCCATCGAAAAACAGTGCACTGACATCGATGCCCGAGGCTTAGACCTTTAAAATTATATATAGTTTGCCAAGATTAATGATCTTCTTTCATGTTAAATCCATTCATAAACATTAAACTAGTGGGGGGGGGAGGGCTTCAGAGCGCCGTCGGTTGCCCGAAGGTTAACTGGTTTTAATGCGATATGGCTCAGCTGGTCAGTGAACTACGGCTCTTCGTCACGAAAAAATCTCCCGTGTTAAACTACCTGGGAGTGTATGAGTCCGCACTCAAGAGTGTTAAAGTTAATGAAATAATTAAGTGATGTGATTAAATGAGTGATGATTGAGCATTATTGAAGACACCTAAAGCAGACTCACAAGGAAAAAATCTCAAATTTTAAGCCACCGTTATGGAGATGAGTGTTTGCTTTAGTTGGGGTCTTGACCCTAATATAAATTTATATTTTAATTTGCTTTTGCATCTGAGTTATATCTGTCAGATGGACAAAAATATACAATAATAAAATGATGTTGGTCATATAGTGACATTCATCATTTGATATTTATGTCTATAATTTGTTATGTTGGTTAGTGTATAACTGAGATTCTGCATAAATGTCCAGAATGTTAAATATAATTGATGGATTTCTCAAAATTTGTTTAAAAAAAAAAAAAAACTTTCCTTTAGGCACACACAGACCTCAAGATTCAGTCAATGCTTCTCAACAACGGTGACGAGTAGAATATTCAAGTAGGAAAAGTAAATTACATAGACAATTCAGATCATAATTTATTCAAACCGCAATGCATGATGGGAGCCATTAATGAGTTGTGATGGGTGGCAACAAGGATTAATTTTGTCACCACAATTGAGATACATAGGCTGATTATTGATATCTGTGTTTCTAGATAAAGATGAGAGTGATTTGATCAGAATATATATTAAACATTTTAAGTTATAAGAAAAATACAGATATGCAATACAACCACAAAAACTGTTGCTAACAAATTAAAGCAAATCTCCTGAATAGAATTTATTTTTTAAAACAAGCATGATTATGTCATAACATAATCAACACTATCAGACCACAAATGTCTTATTTGACTGCTATAAATTAATAGCAGCAGAAAAACAAAATTTAAAGTGAAAGTACAAGTGACAAGTGTCAAGAGCCCAACTAAAGCAGACACTGATCTCCATAACGGTGACTTACAATTTGTGATTTTCTCCTTCAGCGATTCTGCTTGTGATCATCAGGTGTCTTCAATAATGCTCAATCATCACTAAATAAATCACTTAATTATCGCATTCACTTTAACACTCTTGAGGGTTAATTTAATACTCATATCGTCCATCTGAAAGCAGGTGAAAGTGATTTACTGCTAATCAAGGAACCGCCCTGCTAACACACGACGTAACAGTTACGTAATGTATTCGTACTTTTTGGTCACTTCATGACTTACCAATTGACAACGTAACTACAAAGTCGTATGCTCGTAATTTCATTACCGTCATATTACCAACCCACAACGTCGTCAGTACGTCCTCCTAAGGTTATAAGATAACCAACAACGTCGCAGATACGTACTCTAATCGTAATTACTTGGTAATTTTATGACTTACTGGCAACGTAACTACAACGTCGCATGCCCATAATTTCATTACCATCATATGACCAAACCACAACGTCGTCAGTACGTCCTCCTAAGGTTATAAAATAACCAACAACGTCGTAGATACGTACTCTAATCGTAATTACTTGGTAATTTTATGACTTGCTGGCAACGAAACTGCAACGTCACGGGCCCGTAATTTCATTACCATCTTTATTTTATGAGTTTATGAGTGCTTCATATTCTCATTTAATGTAAATATATATATATATATATATATATATATATATATATAGGCTAATACAGATGTCCTGAAATTGCTTTACAATAAAAATAATAGCAAAATGGTATAAAACAAAGCATAATTGTCAAGTGAATGGGTAATTGAACTACACAATGAGTTTTAAATTCATTATTTAAAATTAATGATATTTTAAATTGTTATGTTATAATTCTAGATGTTTATTTAAATACTGCGTGCCTTTTGACGTGTTCTATGGTTTCAATGGGCGTATACGTGCGCGTAGTCAAAAACAGGAGCGCGCGAGCAGATGGAAACCATGGAAACCTCATCAACTGACAGACAGCAAAACTAGCGTCTCTCACTGTTGTTTTCTCTGCTTTCAGGTAAGTTTAGTTACCAAAATCACACAAAAAATACATATAAACATTCCTGACATCTTTCTTACGTGTAATTGATACACTTCTGTTGAATATTTACTTCATAGAAATGGTTTTGTGAAAAAGTCCGCTAGCATCTCCGTTTTCAGAAGAGCTAGCAGCTAGCAGCTAAGTTAAGTTTACGTTACAATTCAGCTCTTGTTTTACATAAGTTTGGGGTTTAAACCACATTTCTGTGTTGATAACAGTTTTTGATAGTTTTGTTTTGCTTGTAATTTGTCAGTGGGTGATTGGAAGTAAGCACATTTATTTAACCTGTTGGTAATTTGTAAGTGGGTGATTGGAAGTAAGCTAATTTATTTAACCTGAAATAATTCATTGTAACGTACTGGTAATGTTAATGACGTCGCTTACAAAGACTGATAATAAGTGATTTCAGGAGGAACAGAAAAAAAACTCCAACAAAGGGGAATTATTGTTTAATCATGATAAATGTACTCATACAATACCACTCTACTTTTCAGGCTACAAAGACGATTTCGACATTGAGTGCACCAAATACACCACCGTGGACGTCACAACTGAATTGGATTTTGCCTACAGACCACCTCAACAGACTCAGCTTACTGTAGCTGAAATAATAAACATGCCATCTCACAAATCAGTAAGTATATAAATATGGTACTTTCCTGTTATCCGGACCCCACGATGGCCTACCCTATACGCCGCCTCACACTGGCAGTAAAATCAGCTCCGTAATACGCAATACGTTCCCAACGGACGTCGTACTACAAAGCGTCGGACGCGGGTACAACAAAAATGGCGGAGAGATTAAAGTTTGATTCTGTCAGTTCTGTATGATCTCTCTGATTAGGGTTATGCTGCGTGAGGAAAGTTGCTGAGGACGTTGACATGTCAGGTCGGCTAAAAAATGTGATATAGTGGTCAATAGTTCAATGTCTACCTTCAATTTAATTGTATTAACTGCCCTTATGAACTTTAGAACGTCATGAAAATAAAAAAATGACATGACAACTTATCGTTATAAAATCATTATTTATTTTATTAAAAGTTAATACTTCAGGTTTGTTTATC